ATTCAAAATCCGGGACAGGTTTTCCTTCGAACTTCAAACCCTACATCAAACATTAGTAATAGGCCGTGGTTGGATTTTGGAGGCATAGCACTAACGTACTAATAAATCACTCATGATTGTAAGCTGCACTGCTAATAGCGCCTAAATATGCAGCCCGTAAAATCCTCCACTGCAATGTAAAGCGCATTGAGACAATGTGTTAATGCGCTATAGAACAACCCCATTATTTATTCATTCATTCATCCATTCATCCATTCTTCCATTCATCCATTCATCCATTTATTTTTAAACCAGTTAAAACGCACTTGCTCGCCCTAGCGTTTTATTTAGTATTTAACTTACAATCGGGTAGTCCCATTAACCCCTCATAATAATACTTATTACTATCCTTATCATAGATACGCTATTGACGTTGTTATTATGATCATTTTTGTTTCAGCGAATCCCCTGAACGTATGCGTACTTCTTCGCAAAGGCTACCCATGTAACATCACCATAAGTCCTCATACGATACCTATGACCCACGGCTATAAGCTGAACTTCGGTGATGGTTCAAGTGAAGTAACGTTCTCTGACACATCAACAGTCACACCACATACATATACCAGTGTTGGAGTATATACTGTCACGCTAACCATCAACCCTGGAGGATCCGGTGAAATATTTACAAAAACAATCACCGTGAAGGAGGTTATCTCTAACGTGGTAAGAATRTACTATACATTCGAAGAGTTCACATTCCTTCTAACCTCTCTCTTGTTTAAAATACTCTAGAAGTATACGATTGATAAAAAATTTAAGTCTAAATTAGAAAGATGAAATATCGAAATTGAAACGATAGGTTTTGCACAAGTTCTTTCTTAAAAATTTCAGTGTCTTTTGATTTTTTTAAAGCCTTCGAAGCTGATTCCACAGTCAGATTTAAACTAGACTGACCTAAATCGGTCCTTAGAACTTAACCTAATAATTCTCCAAGCTAACTAAATGGATCCTTGGAAATGGAAATGAACGCACGTTTTCCATAAAAGTAATATCTGTCCTGTAACGCGGCGTAGAAATAAGAGTGATATCGTTACTGTTAGAGCGTAGTGTTAAATAAATATTGTGTACTTACGAGAAACTCGTTTCCTCCTTACAGACTGTCCATATGCCTTCATTCCTTTGCGCTGTTGGAGGCAAGATTAACTTTACTTCCAGTATCGTTCCCGTCATCCCAGTAACGACGTATGTGAAACTTGGATCAGCGAACTGGACGGAAGGGTCGTTGATTATGTGTGATCAAGTGGGGTCTCAGTCACTGGCCGTGTTCATTGAGAATGGGATCAGTGCTGTGGTTATGAAATGCCTTCTTAACGTTACAGGTACGGTACTTCTAAAAGCTGTTAGAGACAAGGGATGTGGGATTAATATGGGATTATACAATATCCAGTTGACAAATAAAGGGGAAAAATACGTAGCATTGTCATTGAAGTATAGAACCACAAAGTGATTACGATGATGATGATGATGATTGTGGGAATGATGATGATGATGATGATTGTGGGAATGATGATGATGATGATGATTGTGGGAATGATGATGATGATGATGATTGTGGGAATGATGGTGATGATGATGATGGTGATAATGATGATGATGGTGACGATGATGATGATGATGATGGTGAAGAAGATGATGGTGATGATGTCGGTGATGATGATTAAGATGGTAATGATGATAGTGATGATGATGATAATGACGATGTAATGGTGATGATAATAGTTATGATGATGATGATGTCCATAGTGTCGATGATGATGCCATGACAATGACGATGGTGTTGATGGTTAGGATGATGATGATGGCAATGATGATGGTGATGACGTTGGTGACGATGATAATGATGGTCAAAATGACGATGATGATGATGGTCATGATGACGATGATGGTGGTGATGATGATGATGGTCATGACGTTGGTGGTGATGATGATGGTCATGATGACGATGATGATGGTGATACGATGATGATGGCGAAAATGAGGTACAAGCAAATATTTCTAATGGGGTTTTTTTCAATTTCTATAGAAAATATAACCTAAATTAAGGCAGTCTCTTGCAAAATAATAAATTAAATTATTTTCCATTCATTTTCAGTTCTTTCCTTCAATTTCACATGGTCTCCCCCTTACTACGCACCTGGCGCAATGGTGCCCTTCGCACTAACTAAACCAGCGGGGAATTATGGGTAAGAACAGAACATTACTATGACAAATTTAAGGTATCACGACACATTCGAGGACTCAAAAATATCTCGCACGCTGTACGATGTTTTCGTTTCTTGTAAAAGGGAGAAGAAGAGCCGGAGGAATCTAGGGATATTTTATATCCTAAAACTAGGCCTAATTTGCGTTGGCAAAATGTTTACCCATTTCAGACCACGGCGAGGGTTTGACCACAACACCATCCCGACTCCCCATATTACATTTTTTTAAACATTTTTTATGTATAAGTATTCTGTAACAGTATACATACAAAGTTAATACAAACACATGCAATTAACAAAAGAAAAAAAAAAGAAAAAATACATCCAAAACAAAAAACGAGTTAAATAAGTTAAATAAATTCAAGGAGTTTGTTCCATTTATTGTTGTGAAATGCAGCTTTTTCTTTTTCAATAGCTATCCTTAATTCAATATAATAGGTTATTTTAACTTTATTAATGAAGGCAGCGTAGGGCAGTTTATGATTTTTAAAACTACTATATATCCAATAAGTGTTTGTAAGCCGAGTTAAGATTCATGATAGTTTTGATTCGTCAGCTTTAAAAAAAAATAAAATAAAATAAAATAAAAATAGCGCGCGCAATTAATTCTCCCWTCGTAACACGCGCGCTCCTAGCAACTGATACATTTAACTATAGCACGTGCACATTGTTTTGTTGCGTGTTTCTTGTAAAACTGTCACAACCGTTTGCCCTGATGAAGAGCAAGATGCTCGAAAGCTTGGCTTGATTTATAATTAAAAAGCTGATGAATCAAAACTATCATGTACTTATATATATATATATAGTATTTTGCTAATACAAATAAATTATTAATTAAGATTTGGTCACTGATTTCATCTGCAATACCAAGAACAATGTCTAACTCTTTAAAATCGAGATACCATATTACATTTGCTGCTTTTTAGACCATTAAAAAAACTTTTTTATTCTTTCTCTTCCAGGATCATAATGTTATTTCCTGGCCCGGTGTCCGTCAATTGTACTAACGATACCATCTATCACAGTTTTGCTACCCCCAATATTTCACCTGGACACAATGTTGTTATGATTGTCACTGACAGTGTAGGAAGTAGTGCTAAAATCAATAAGTATATCCTAATATACCCGAAGCTGAATGGTACATTAAACGTGGTGTACCCGGCATTCGGCGGAATGGGTATGTTACTGGAGTACAAAGTGGTGATAACGGCAGACAATCTCAGGTAATTGGTGTTTGACCATGGTATAAAAAAGTATACAGCATAATGCAGCTTTCCTCATCTTATATTTTTCACGACCATTTCTGATTGGTTCTTGGCCATTGTGTATAAAAGCATATAATGCAGCTTTCCTCATCTKATATTTTCCACGACCATTTCTGATTGGTTCTTGGCCATTGTGTATAAAAGCATATAATGCAGCTTTCCTCATYTDATATTTTCCACGACCATTTCTGATTGGTTCTTGGCCATTGTGTATAAAAGCATATAATGCAGCGTTCTTCATTTTATATTTTCCACAGCTATTTCTGATTGGTTCTTGACATTGGTGTATAAAAGTATAGACACTGTAGCTTAATTCATGCTTATAGACGAACGCATTCATTTCTTTAAATGGCATAGGACGTGTGAATATTGTGAAAACTATATATATATGTGCAATTTGATTGGTCCAAAGTATGTTGTCAATCACAGACAACGAASGACACAATTTTGCAGTCATGCGATGCTCACTTTATTGGCGAAAGAATAGGAAACGCGCGTGCGTGCTGTGTGCAGTCATAAAGGTGCTTCTGGACACTTCTCGAGTGTTCTGCCAATCCCCAAGTGCTTTATAACTGCACACAGCACAGCAAGCAAGTTACAATAACCGTTATTGCGCGCGTGGAATGTGCTCTCACAAAGCACGCGCTCCAAACCAATTAGAACGCGACATTCATAACAGTTAATTTATAACATGTTTTTTTTCTTTTCTTGTTCCACATGGTGTAGCCACTCATTTAACTTTAGTGATGGGAGCCCTGTATTGAAAAGCATTTGGCCCAACGCCACACACACATTTAACACTAAAGGCGTACATTGCATCGAGGTCATCACAAGTAATCCAGTCAGTTCGCTATCAAAGACCGTTTGCACGAGAGTCGTCGAGGCCATCCAAGGACTTGCGTAAGTATAGCTGTTAGAGAACACCCTGACCATATATCCGTGAAAAACGTCTGCGCATGCTCTAAAACCTTATGCAAATTAGTCAAAATATAAGTAAATTTGACTTTCAAACATGCCTGATAAATTGGACTTCACAAAATGGCAAAACTTAGTGTCCATGCTTGAAACTTAAGGCTAATTCTTTCATATTGTGTTTGTTAATACAGTATCTTGGTCTCACAAAAGAAGAATCGCGAAGTTAGAAACGTGCTGAAATGCACGCATGCGCAAACTTTTCTATCTGGTGTCGTACATACCATATATCCGTGAAAAAGTTAACTAACAAAATTGTACAAATTAGTTTTTACAATAACTGACAAATTTCTCGCGCGCTGATTGGTTAATTTTTATCATCAATAAGAGGACAGACAGATAAAGCTGACGTCAACGAGCGCGCGCTCTTTCCKTTAGTTGTTTTGATCAGTAAAAATCGGCTACGCCTCGTGGATCCACACTATACTTTGACAATGTGATGACGCAATTTATCGTCAATAAGAGGACAGACACATAAAAATCTGATGTCAATATGTTAAACAACGTTATGTAGGTCTACGGTCTACTGAGATCTAATGAACGTATTTTTTAAAAAACTTGTGCAGATAGATTTTGTGCAAGGTTTTCACGGATATACACTCAATTGAAGAATCGTTGTCGGGTTCAGAAACATAGAACATAAAAGGTGAGACCGAAATGGCACATGGGAAGTACGTTCATCACTTCCAATCAAGTTAAACTTTCTGAATAACAAGATTTTAGCCTTGTACAACAGCCTTTCTTCAAGAAAATAGTTTTTGGCGCTCACTGCTTGAATACGAAAAGAATTCTCTCTTAATGAACATTGTATCTCTTAGATGTGCTGAGGACCTCATCAGAACTCCTTTGGGCCAGCCATCATCTATAGGCTTTGTGGTGGAAAATGGCACAGACTTCGACCTAAAACTCCAAATCAATGCCTTATTCCCCACATTCAATGTAGAAAACGCCACCGCACACGACATTTTCGTCGTCTTCAAACAACACAATTTCACTGAAGAGGGGGAGTACAGTTCTACGGTCACTGCATCAAACATTGTTGGCAACGCCACTGCAAAGTGCTTAGTGCTTGTACAACGGCCTATCGAGAACCTGGACGTTCAGGTTAGTCAAGAGAATTTCCTTTCATTTCATTTCATTTTGTTTTAATAATATAGCAATTGCAGCGTTCTTTTCATTATTCCTATATTGTTTGCCCTCTAATTTGAGCTGCATTCCCAAGTGCTGCAAGGAGTCTATACCATTGAATTCATATCTGATTATTTTGATTGACAGCTAATCCATGACACAAACTATCTCGAGATGAACGCGACCTTAAAACTAGTAGTAACTGTCAATGGTACCAGTCCTCTGATAGAGTATAACTTAGGAGACGGCACCCCAGCATTGAATACTACAAGTCAAACCATGTACCATAGGTATCAAATGTATGGTATAATGATGATCAACATCACTGCTAGAAACAACGTTAGCCAAATGACTATCAATAGAACCATCTCTGTCCCCAAACCAGTAATTCCTCTCCAAAGACTTCTACTTAGGACGGAATATGTCAATCTTACAAGCCCTACAGTTCTGAGCATGCGCATTGGCCAGGGGTCGGACTTCAATTGCACCGTCCATTACGGCAATGGTATTAACAAAACCTATTGCTACAACATGGTGTACTATGAAAATGCCGTCTCATTAGATGTCACGCCGTTCTTAAACCTGGACCTGAACGAGTCGTATGTGTACCCAGTCGAAGGTTACTACCATTTGACTACCACGTGCTTTAATCGTCTAACCAACGTGACCAACACGACTTATGCCTACGTGTTGAAGCCAATCACAGACTTTGTATTACCACCGCTACCACCTCAAATATTCGGATCGGAAATATCCATTTCTTTTAACATGGCAGCTGGAACTAACGTGACGGTGTATTTCTATATCGATGGCAAACAAATGGACAGTACTGCATATGTCACTGACAGTGGTGGATCAGTACTGATGAAACCATACGAGCATTACAGTCAAGTCACGCATTACGAAATCAAGACGTATGCAAAGAACCTCGTATCAGAATACAACTCCACATCTTACTTAATGACCCTACAAATACCTATCACAGAGTTGACGTGCAATGTCACTACTACTACCCCGTACCCTGACGTCGGGATACAACGATGCCGGAATGAAAGCAACATATTTCCTGCAGAACATCCAATAATATTTCCAGCCAACCCGAACAATGGCACCAACTTGACGTGCTTCTATTTGTTCGGTGATGGTGCCATGACTAACACATCTAACCTGACAGTCACCCATCAATATGCCGTGCAGCACCGCAGATACGAGCCTTCAGTCACGTGCTCTAACCTCGTGAGTTCAGTCACGTGTTGTTTCCCGATAACCATGGAAAAGAAAGTAAAAGCTGTGACAGTTTCAAACGACGGCCCAAAGAAGTTTAACAATACTATCACGTTTACTTTAAATGTTRAAGACTACGGTACGGGAACTTGTTTTGCATGGGACTTCAAAGATGGTACTCCTATTGATGTGTATGGACAGTCCCATTGCTCGAAACTTACGTTTCCTAGGGGTCAGAGGTTTTTCCCAATAGCTGAAGGAGTGACTTCAATTAACGCTTACCATGCTTACTCCACCGTCAACCAGTTTTTTGTCAAAATCCAAGCAACGAATAATGTGTCCTGTATTGAAACAGAGAACCAGGCTGTCAGCGTGCTCAAGGAATGTTTCTATCCTAATGTTTCGATGAGAGGTATGTTGATAATTAGACACTGCATGAGTGTGTTAATAGGCATTGGTCAAATAGTCCTACTAGTGGTCTATCAGCTGCGTTCTGATTGGATGAACTACTAGTAGGCTATAAGTTATATCCTACTATAGTAGCGAAAAGTGCCGACTTTGAAAAATAAATGCGTATTAATAGGCAATAGAAGAAAAAGTAGAAGATGTCCAGATCAAATAGCTGTGGTATCAAATTTATCAGCTTATAACTAATCGATTATAAACTTGCCCAAAATGGTACGAACATGGTATGAACAACAAGTCCAAAGAAAGACGCACACGAAATGCATATGGCAAAAAAGTGTAACAATATTATTGAATCGTTAGGTTTTCATATGAATGAGTGGTTGAACACTCTTTGATGCACATTGCATATTGCTTTGATGCAAATTGCATATTGCTTTGATCCACATTGCATATTACTTTGATGCAAATTGCATATTGCTTTGATGCAAATTGCATATTGCTTTGATGCAAATTGCATATTGCTTTGATGCAAATTGCATATTGCTTTGATGCAAACTGCATATTACTTTGATGCAAATTGCATATTACTTTGATGCAAATTGCATATTGCTTTGATGCAAATTGCATATTGCTTTGATGCACATTGCATATTGCTTTGATGCAAATTGCATGTTACTTTGATACAAATTGCATATTACTTTGATGGACATTGCATATTGCTTTGATGCAAATTGCATATTACTTTGATGCAAATTGCATATTGCTTTGATGCAAACTGCATATTGCTTTGATGCACATTGCATATTGCTTTGATGGACATTGCATATTGCTTTGATGCAAATTGCATATTGCTTTGATGCACGTTGCATATTACTTTGATGCAAATTGCATATTACTTTGATGGACATTTTATATTGCTTTGATGCAAATTGTATATTACTTTGATGGACATTGCATATTGCTTTGATGCAAACTGCATATTGCTTTGATGCACATTGTATATTGCTTTGATGCAAATTGCATATTGCTTTGATGCAAATTGCATATTGCTTGGATGCAAATTGCATATCTCTTGAACGGAATCCATAATTGATTTTGTTTTTATTTGACATCTCTAGTCGCTGGAAAGAATACTTCTTTGGCTGCTCAAATCCGTCGCTCTGAAACATTTCAAGTCTCCAATGAAGTAGGAGTGTACTGTGAAGTCTCATCCGTTACCAACTACTCCTGGATCATAACCAAAGTGCAAGACATGAAAAATAACACTCTCAATCCACCGCAAGTGATGTCACTACCAAGCGTCAAACTGAACGCTCCCATACCGACATTCTTTGAGCGTACACTACCGTATGGCACTTATGAGTTTAATGTGACTGTGTATATGGAAGGGACGATTGGGGTCAGGACCATTGAGATTGGATATTTCGCTATCGTGTGTACTCCATACATTATTGCTAATATCAAGGAAGGCTGTCTTTTGAAAAGGAAAGTCGGTTCAGTGGTAAGTAGAATATTGGAACGAACGAAGGAAGGAAGGAAAGAAGTAAGGAACGAACAAACGAACAAAC